ACATGCCTTTAAATGTATGACACAAAGCCCAGAAACCAGAAAAGATTAACTTGACTTATAAAATAAAAGAGACAGGGTCTTGCTCTGTTGCCCAGGCTAGAGTGCAGTGCCACGATCATAGCTCGCTGCAACCTCAAACTTCTGGGCTCAAGGGATCCTCCCGTCTCAGCCTCCCAAGTAGCTGAGACTATAGGCATGCACCACCATATCTGGCTATTTTTTTTTATTTTTTTGTAGCAACAGGGTCTCACTATGTTGCCCAGGTTAGTCTTGAATTCCTGGCCTCAAGCAATCCTCCCAAAGTGCTGGGATTACAGGCCATGCCTCACCATGCCTGGTCTAATTTTCTTTATATATAAAGATCTCTCATAAATTAATATGGAAAAAAATCAACAACTCAATAGAAAAAAGGGCAAAAGATATGGCTGGATGATTCATAGAAAAGGATATAAAAATGGCTCTTAAACATATGCTAAGATACTCAACCTCACCCATATATGAGAAATAGTAATTAGAACTACAATTAGATAATATTTTCCATCATAAGATTGTCAAAATTCAAAAGGCTTGCTAACAAACTGTGTGGGCAAGATTGTGGGGAACCAAGACCCACATACACTGCTGGTGGGAGAGTATGTTGGTCCAACTACTATGGAAGGAGCTAACAACATTTTAAATTCTATTTCTTAGCTTGCAAGTAGGGTAAAATAACAATAAACCAAAATAAAATAAATTCTATTTCTAAGAATTTATCCTACTTAAATATGTGGAAAATCACCTGTATAACTTTAACTGCAGCAGTAATCAAACTGTCTAAAACTTACTGAGGCTTATTACACTCTCAGCACTATTCTCAGAGCTTGGCATTTATCCGTGGAATCCTCACGGAACTCTGTGGGGTTACGGTCATTATTCTCATCTTAGATACAGAAATGCAGGCACAGAGAGATTAAGCAGATTGCCAGAGTTCACACCGCTGGTAAGCAGTGGCCCTGGGACTCAAGCCCAGGTAGGCTGGCTTCAGAGTTTGCACATTTTTTCATTACATTCAGCTTTCTGAAACAGTGAAAGACTGAGAAAACCCTCCAAGTCCATTGAGCGGGGACTGGTCAATGGAGCACAATGTAGTTATTCAAAAGAATGCGGCAGCTTTACATGTTCTAATAAAAAAAAGATCTCCAAGATACATTGCTAAGTGAAAATACGAGCTGCTGAAGAGAATTCTGAATATGCTCTACTCATGCACAGTAGAGTATACATGCATGTAACAGATCGTGTGCCTATGTGTGTGTATTTGTATATATTTAGTATATCTCCGGAAGAAAACACGATTAACTGGTCTCAGTGACTGCCCCTGGGGAGAGGAGCTTGGTACCTGAGGGACTAAGAGTCAGGGGCGAGAAGGAGGTATGCTTTTCCTGAAAAGACTTTCTATAACTACGGAAGTTCTTCACTTACCATGCTGAAGATCTTCAGGATGCCCAACACCTAACGCTCCCATCTCCCACCTGAATCCTAAACCAACTGTGCGACAAGAAAGAGGACTCCGCAGATAAAGACCAAAATATCATCTTTATTATGAATATCGTCAACGTTGGAGAATATAGCCTGTGCTGTAGTTGCAAAGAAGCAGGCCTCAGAGTACTGGACTCCATAACTGATACAGCTAGACCAGAACAAGTCTCCTCCCCTCCCCACAACCAGTTCAGAGTCTCAGCCTGCTCCTAAGGGGCTGCGGAGGAGATCACATACACTTTGAGAGCCACACCCAAAAGATTAAAAAAGGAAGAGGAAGGGGCAAACTTCCTCCTCCCAGTCTCCCATGTCAGACGAGTCCTTCTCCCGCCCGTGGGGAATCCCTGGGGAGTGTTGCCCTGATGGGGCTCAGTCTACAGGTAAGGAAGCAGGAGTGGGAGAGAGGCGTTCACCACAAATCTGTAAAAATATATTAAATAATGCATTTAAAAATCAAAGTAAGAAAATTGAAGTTCAAGGAGATGAAATAATTTACCCAATGTCACCCAGCTAGTTAGTGGCAGAACTGAAATTTAAATCGAGTCCTCTGACTTCACATGCCTTGCAACTTTCTTCTGCACCAAGCTGCCCCATGGCGCTTAGAGTGTCAGGGAGACTAGAGGGGCAAAGTCAGGTGGCATCATCCAATGAGCATGTTGTTTCTGAGAGGGAACAGCTGCTCCTGGCAGCCGGGTTTTGAGGGAGAATCCGTGGAAGAGGGTTAGATAAAGGAGTAGGCTCTGTGGCAGTGAATAGGTCTAGGAGAAAGACTGGTTCAGGGAAATAGCCCGGCGAAGAGGCCTTGGCACAAAGAGAGCAGCCGGCCCCACGAGGGCAGCAGAGAACCAGGAATGGTCTTCTCCTTTTGGTGGACTCTAAGAGGCACACACAAGGGAAGCCCCTAGAGTTTTCAGCTGTTACCAGACTCTGAAGACTGACGTTAAACAATTCTGCTAACCCTGAAGCTAGAGGCTACATCAGCTTTCCAATTCAGAGCCAGTGCCTTACAAACGTAGCTGCAAGAGTAGGAGTAGGCTTTGTCTCATGGTCATCCACTTGCAAGTGAAATATCAAATTAATTGCTCTTCCCTCTGCTTTCTTGAAGCTTCCCATTTTTAACAGTACCACCTGAAACAAAGTCCTGTTTTTTTTGTCTCTCTGTGATGAAAACTGGTGAGCAACCAGCCTTGCTTGAGGATAAAATGAGTAATTAAACAATTGACCACAGATTCAAAGGTCTTTAGTAGGTAAGAGAAGAAAAAAGGCTCTTGGGTCATGGCATCAGAAAAAACCTGTAGGATTCTCAGGGGAAACAGTTCTCCACACAGTGTGAATGTAAATCTTCCAAGACATCTATAAATGTCTTTAACTACTGTGGAAGATCTATGTCTGCCACCTTGGCTTGTATAACAGGATGTCCTAACTGAGGGCATGTAAACTGCATTGCTATTTGCAGAACCAGTGGGCTAGTGACCCCTTTGTGTAAATTCAATACATGGCCACAGGGGAAAAATTGGGGTTGTTTTGTGGCTGAAGGAAAAGAAAGCACTTTTGATGTTTGATCTGAAACTGCCAGGGTGGGTGCTGCATGGAATCACAGAGATGGGATGTCCACACCCTCATCCCTTCCCATCAGGCTGTTGAGTAGCTTTGAGTTCCACGCCTGCAGAGAGAGGAGTTAGGGTGGACGCTGAAGGAACTGTGTTCGTGAAAGACTTGGTGAGAGTCTGGAATGAAGTACACAGGGCATGTGCAGAATCACATCAACAGACAATCTCCCTGTCCCAGCCCTGCTCACACCAGAGAACCACTTGAGTATCCTGAGGACGGAGGCTGGCCAGCACCCCCTTAGAAGAAACCACCGCACCTTGAAGAGCTGGGTTCTGATGAGAGCAGCAGAGGCAGTGGAGGGGAAGCCCTAAAGACTCCCAGAAACAGCAGGAGAGATACTATCGGGGGACAGAGGGTGCAGATATGCAGGTAGGAGATAAGAGTGGCGGTAATTCTGGCGTTAATGACAATGGAACCTCACGTGTACTCAT